AGTGAGGATAGGGAGGGTTTAAGGAGAGCTGAAGGCACTGTGTGAGTAGAGCAACACAATTCTGGTGAGACAACATTTGGTAAGTAACATCCTTGTGGAGAAAAGCAAACAAATACAGTTTCACTAGAAAGACAAAAGGAGGTTGTAAGCGACACTCTGTGGCAGATGAGCAGAACTATCTGACACAATTTGAGCTTGCTATAGCAAGAAAGTCTAACCCATTCCGGCATTCTGTTCCCCATGAGACAACCTATTACATAGGCTCAAACAATGTTCTAATTGTTTAAAAAAAAGGACAAAATGGGGCAGTGAAAGTTGGCTGTTAAAGAACAGAGTGCTCCCAGACCCATGCAAACTCGAGCACACAAAAACCCAGGACATACTATGGAAATGGGCAGCAGGCCCCAATCTTAGTGGAAGAATTATTGGCAGCTGATAACTGCTGGTGAGGAAGAGCTGATCTTCTTAAAGGGAGGGACTCTAGATAGCCTGACTAGACTTCAGTGGATGAACTTGCAATGAGGGACATCTGGGGACACTAACTTGACATGATAGGCCTTAACACAAATTGACAGAATGTATGAATTCCGGGGTGGGGGTGGGGCTATGGGAGAGGGTCAGTGGGGAAGGGGTATAAAGATGATTAAGATGTTCTGCATGAAATGCACAAAAATTCATAAAAAATTTTAACAGTCTAAACAGAGCTTCCTCCAGTGTGATCTGACCTTAGTTTTTTTCGTGTGTGAGTGTGTGTGTGTGTTCTGCAGTTTTATAACTTTATTTGACTCTTGGCAGTTAGTTCTCATCCTCATTGACTGTCTGGAGATTTTTGAAAATGGTTAACAGGGCCGTAAGTGACCAAGGTGTACAGCTTGTTCCCGAATTCTCATCCTCATTGACTGTCTGGAGATTTTTGAAAATGGTTAACAGGGACATAGGTTACCAAAGTGTACAGCTTGTTTGGCTAATCCTCATCCTCATTGCATTTTCTGGACAAATGAACTCGGATACAATATGGAACATTCCTTTGGCCCAGGCAGCTTTGTTGAGCCTGGTATTAATGTGCACATTTGGAGTACTCATCTCCTTCATGGCGAATTTCTGGATTTCTCTGAAATCGGGCACATTTGCTGAAGTCCACTCCATGGATACACTTGTGAAAGTCGATGGTGTATTCCTGGGTCACCACCTTGTTCATGGCAGAACAGCCATCTTCTCGCCATCCTTCTTTGAGGGAGCCATTCCGCTGGGCCCAAGTTGGAAAGTCTTAGTTGTCTTTGAACCAATATTGTTAGGCCAAACCAGAACCTCAGCCTCCTGAGGGCTAGGATTACAAGCATGCTCCATCAGAGCAGACTACTTATTTATTTAGTCTTAAATATATATATTTTTAAATATTTTTAAATTTTTTATGTGTTTAAACACTTAAGTGTTTTGTCTGCATTTATATAAGTGCACCATGGAGGCCAGAAGAGGATGCCAGATCTCCTGGAACTTGAGTTAGGGACAGTTGTTAGATACCGTGTGGGTGCTGGGAACAGAACCTGGGTCCTCTGCAAGAGCAACAAGTGCTCTTAACTGTTGGGCTATCTCTGTAGCCCCTATTTATTACTTTTATTCAGCTTGTTTGGCTAATCCTCATCCTCACTACATTTTAAATGAAAACACAGGCAACAACAAAGTAAACTAAATTCAGAAAGCTTGGCAGAAAAGGGAGGAGACAGGGCTGTGGGTGTGTCAGTGGTAGTATGGGGCTTAGCATGTATAAGGACCTAACTTCGATCCCAAGTGCCCACCCCCTAAATAAGGGAGAATGAATACCATCTTTTTCCCCAGGAGCTCCTCTTCCAAACCCAGCTCCTGTCAATTTTCCCAAAGAAACAATGTTACTTTTAGCCTCCCTTCTCAGGTTCCTGGACTGTAGCACCACTGTCACAATAGGTAGGAGCCAGGACAGAGGACTCAAACCTCAAGGCTCCACCCAGCTCCTAACCACCACCAACGACCTTCAGATCCCCTCACATGCCTTTCTTTTTGTTGACCCAGATACTGGTTGGTTTCTTTGTGCCTCTTGTCCCCAGGGTGCACCAAATCTCTTATCAAGGAGGCATCAGATCCATTGCCACCTAAAGCTGCCAACCTGCTTATCTGCTCTAGACCTGCCCAGGCAAGGGCTGTTCCCACAATTCTCCTTTCTTTGGGAACTCACTCTGGAATTCAGCCCCTTTCTCCTTCCTCCTTTCATGTGCACTGATGGCCAGCAGGGTGGAGGAGACCTCAGGAGCAATAGACCATGATGGGAAGGGCGCAGGCTTGGGAGTAAATCAGACTTGGCACAAAATCCTGCCTCTTCGAGATTATCTGCACTGTGGGAAATTTTCTTAATCACTAAAAATTTCTTAACTTCCCTGAACTCAGTTTTTGCTTTGGTAAAATAAGGATAAAACCTACTTTGAGGGCTGGAGAGATGGCTCACCGATTAAGAGTGCTTCCTGTTCTTCCAGAGGACTTGAGTTTCGTTCTCAACACCCATATCAGTGGCTAACTACCTGCCTCTAACATCAGCTACAGGGAATCAGACATTCACTTCTGGCCCAATACCCATGAGCTTTTGGGTCAAATAAAATTTAGGATGGTCTTTTCAACCAATTAATAATTCATTATAAATATATTCATCCATTAATATTTATTATAAACATTTATTAATATTATCATATTATACCAGTGCAGTTTTAAGAGAAAACGGCCCACCAAGGCAAAAGACATGATGCAGCATAATCCAGCACTCCTGGAGGACAGACAGCTCCTTAGGAAATATGGCTGACAGGGAGGGATAGGAAGGAACACAGGCAGGAAGGCAGGGGGAAGTGCAAGCTGGAGCGGACAGACAGGGGAGCGGGACCCTGGGGATCCTCCAAGGAATCCTGTGTGACTACTTTTCCCCATACTTGTATATCTGCTTAGACCTAGTGGGCAGAGAACTGTATACGATACATTCTAAAATACCACCTCACATCACTTGCTGAATCAAGAATATAAATATACAACGCAACAACAACAACATAACAACCCAATTAAAATCTGGGCATGGGGCCAGAGAGATGGCTCAGCAGGAAAGGACACTTGCCGCCAGATCTGACAACCTGAGTTAAATCCCTGGAATCCACATAGTGGAAAGAGAAAACAGACTCCTCAAGTTGTCCTTTAACCTCCACACATGCACAGTGGCACACTGGTGCTCCACACACAAACATACCCCCACCCATACACACAGATAAAAAATAAATGCTAAAAAAAAAAGGCATGGCCTTGAACAGACACTTCTCCAAAGATATCCAGATGGCCAACAAGCTCATGAAAACATGCTTGGACATTACAAGTCATTAGGGAAATCAAAGTCATGATGAGATACCACTTGACACCCAATACGATAGCTACTATCACACTCTCCACCCAATAACAAGTATTGGAGAGGATGTGGAGAAATCAGAACCTTTGTACATTGCTGATGGGGATGTAAATGGTGTCACTATGAAAAAAAACAGTATGGGGGGTTATAGGGGGTGTTCTTTAAAAAAACAAGATTAAGCATAAAATTAGCATATAACAATTTCACTTCTGAACGTATATCCAAAAGAACTGAAAGCAGAGCTTTGAGTATACCCATGCTCATAATAACATTATTCACAAGAGCCAAAAGGTGGAAGCAATCTCCGTACCCATCAACAGATGAATGGCTAAACAAAATGTACATACAGACAATGGAATATCACTTGGACTTGCCACTGAAGGAAATTCTGACACAAATTCTGACAGCATGGGTGGCCTTTGAAGGCATTATTCTAAGTGAAACAGACAGACACAAAAGGACAAACACTGACTGCCTAGACAGTCTGCTGGGTTGCTCTGCCATCCTCCAGGTCCCTTCCCCAACTCAGGAGGCCTTTAGCCACTAATCTAGACTTCTGTCCATTGCTCTCTGTTCCCCACTTCTCACAAGATAATGAAAAGTCTGAACTGTGTGACAGGAGACTCTACCTTAGCCTTCCTTAGATCTGCCTCCCCTGGAGTTCTTGCTCTCCAGTTTCTACATCAACAAAAGCAGGGAATGTTCCTTCAAAGACAAAGGAGACCACATATATGAAAACAAAGGAATACAGACCAAGGGTTTGTTACTCCCACACTGTAACTAGTATAAGTTGAAACCAATCGACATGTAAATATCTGACAGTAAGTCTGACCCAACCAGATTAGGAAATGAAAAGTGAAATCCAATCAGAGAGTAAGAGGTGGATCCCTGCTCCAGCATACCTCCAGGGAAACAATAGGGTTTTGATACTGAGTCTGTACCTTTAGAGAAGTGGAATTAGAAGGTAGGATCCCTTTCCCAGGTTACAGGTCACCAATACACCTAGCTCCTAGCATTTAAAAAAAAACATCTCTCCCTTCCTCCCTTCTTCCCTTCCTTCTCCCCCCTCTCCCTGGGTGAGTAGCCCAGGCTAAATTCATTATATAGTTGAGGATGACCTTTGATATTCCTACCACTACCTCCCAAGTGCTGGGATTACAGTCAAGTGCTATCACAAGGGATTTATTGGGTGCTGGGGATCGAACCCAGGGTTTCATGTTTGCCAACTCTACCAGCTGGGCTTCATCCCAAACCTTCCTTGTTACCTTGAGAAGATTCTTTTCCATGTTTAATTATAGGGATTGCTGCCTTAGTCAATGCATTATTGGAGGGGTGAACATAAAGCAGCTCCTTTAGGCTTATAAAAGAACTTGTAAGATGAGGTTACAGAGCTTTAAGTGGCAGCAGTAGGGACTGGCACTTTAGAATAAAACAGCACTAAAGGGCACACTCTAGTTTCCACCTGCTTCTTTTCAGGACCTTTTCCGGTGTGAGGCTGTCAGGGCCTCAAGGAATTGCAGGACTGGTCCAGGACGGGGTAGAGGGTTTTGAACAATTGTCTTACAATGGGTTAGCAAAGACTTTCACCTACCTCCTGGAGAAGGTGTGTCGGGTATGCTGGTCATGGCTACCAAGGACCTTGAGGGAGGGGCAGATCTGTAGGAAGAATGGAAGGGAATGAAGTGAGCTTCTGAGGCAGCCGGACATGGAGATTCCCAAGAAAGCCTTTGGCACCAGATTTTCCTGAGTCTCTTCCCCACTTCCTCTTTCCCCATGGATATCATCCACACTGCTTCTCTTCCTGGATCTCCTCAGGTTCCATGTGCAGATCCCTCCCCGAGAGCAGATCCCGGCTCAGGTGACCTGGGACGTGCCACCTAGGCGACCTTTTCACCGGGCTCCCACATTTACCGGGCCTGAGAAAGTTAGGCAAAAGTCAGCAAGTGGGCAGCGGTCCGTTTTGCCAAGGTGGATCCGGGTACCTGGGCCACCTGGCCGCCAGACCCTGCGGAGCCATCCGCTAGGTGTCAGGAGAGGGCCGGGAGGTTAGGCCCGCCCGGGAGGGTGTGGGACGGGGGCCGCCACGCAGACCCGGCCCGGAAGCCCAGACGCCCCCCGGCCGGGCTCCGACTCCGCTCCCCCGGCCGGGCCGGCTCCCCGGGGTCCCTTCATGGGCTCGCGCGCCGTCCCCGCACAGCCTCCCGCACTCCCAGGCCGGAGCCCCGAGGGCCGCCCGAGGCTGCGCGCCGTCGAGGGTCCCGGGGCCGCCGCGTTACCCGCGCCGAGGCTTCGGTTCCCACCGCGGTGGCCGAGTGCGCGCGGACGACGTCTCGCTCGGCCTCCCGGGCCCCTCCTCCGCTCTCACCTTTCCAGTCCGACGGGCCGCAGGGGCCGGGCCCGACGCCGCTCGTCCTCCCGAACTCGCCGGGGGTGGGGGTGGGAACGGCCGAGCTTTGCCAGGGCCCCGCAGGCCGAGCGGGAGCCGCGTCGGGGACCCCGCGCCGGAGCCAGCCGCCGACAGTCGCGCAGCGCCCGGCCGAGGCTGGCCGCAGAGGGGGTGGGGGCGGCGGCGGCCTGGGTGGGACAGGAAAGAGCCGAGAACCGCCCTCTGCAGGTTCCCTCTGCCCGCCGCAGCCTCTGCTCCCGCGGGAGGAAAGGCCACCTTCCCTCCTCCACTTGCCGTGCGCTCCATCCGGAGCCGCTTCCTCCCTCGTCCCGGGACTGAGGGGCGCGTCCATCTCTCCCGGTTTCCGCAGCTGGAGTTTTCAAGCGTGCAAAGTTACGCGCGCAGCCACTTGGGTTTGCGTGTCACTTACACTAACAGGTCTGAAAGATGACTTGGTGGGCACACCCCCTGGTGCTGAGGCGCCAGGTGAAGCGGGGCGAGAAACCAGGCCCCACCTGGGCCTCATTCGACCTTCATCTGAGGCTGTGGCGTGCAGAGGTTAAGAGCCTTGGCTGTGGTCTGGTTGAGGATCGAAGGGTCCAGCCCAGCTGTTTGCCAGCTGCGTGGCTAGGGGCAAACTACCAAATGCCTCTAAATTCTGCTTCCTCAGCCCTAAAATGGGGGCTGAAAGTGGTAATTCCTGTAAAACGCTGTCATAGCCCTACCTAGCACATGGCAAGCTTCTCAACTTAAACATTCATCAATGGCATACTTCAGCTGCTGCTTGACTCACTTTGTGGCCGGAAATGCTCCCAAATTAACCAGAGGAACTGAGTGACTAAGAGGATGTAATTCTGTATAACACATTCTGGAACTGGCTTTGCTCTGTAACCTTGGACAAGTTACTTCTGATACTCTTTTGGGGACAAAACCTGTCATACTCCATAGTGTTACTGTGGGGTTGGAATGGGTGGATTAGAACCTAATGTGACATACAGTATGCACTCAGTAAACATGGCTAGTGTTAGCTTGGTCTGCTGCTTAGGGTCTGGACCTCATGGTTGTCTGCCTTCCAGGCAGTGAGGCAGCCTTTTGTACTTCATACTAAGGTGAAGTCCATGGTGGGGATCCATAGTTATATATGCCAGTAGGAAGACAGGTATCAGATTTGGGGTGTTCACTGGGGAAAGAATGAGAGGCATAAAAAGAAAAACAAAGCCATAAAGGAAACAATAATTGCTTTTATTCCTAAAACGCTGGTTACTAAAACCAGAAGAAGAAAAAGACTAAAACAAAAATCAGAAAAATTCATGAAATTGACTGTAATTTTATTTTTAAAAGGCAAAGCAATACCAGTGAAGAAAGTCCTGAGTGAGAGACTGCCATCCAGGAAAGGAAAAATAAAATAAAAAAGGTATGTAGGCAAGGTGTAATAAAAGTCCTTTGGTTAGTTCTCAGATAAGAGAATGTCTCAGCCGGGTGTGGTGGCACCTGTCTTTAATCCCAGTCCTCAGGAGGCAGAGGCAGGCAGATCTCTGTGAATTCAAGGCCAGCCTGGTCTACATAGTGAGTTCCAGACCAGCTGGGGCTACAGGGAGACCATGTCGCAAAAAGACCAAAAAAAAAAAAAAAGGACAGACACACCATACACACACGAGAGACAGAGAAAGAGAGAGAGGGGGAGAAAGAAAGAGAATATTTCATAGAAAAGGATTCCAAAGGAAAATGACTGCTTCTATTTATTTACTCCAACTGGCCATAAAGTGTAGGACTGATTTCCTGCTGATTTGCTGTCAGTGTCATAATTTTGGTTGTTCATGATCTCTCATAAGCATCTTTCTGTTTTTTGAGACAAAGTTACTCTGTAGCTCAGGCTGACTGGGAACTCATCATGTTGTCAACAATCCTCCTGCCTCAGCTTCACAAGTGCTAGGATTACAGGCCTGATCCATCATACTTGGTTTCTCATAAGCATCTTTTCCTCTTCAAAACAAGAGCTGGGCGTGGTGGTGCATGCCTTTAATCCCAGCACTCGGGAGGCAGAGGCAGGCGATCATCTACAATTTGCCCTTACAGACATCTATAGAGTACTCATGCAAAACATAATATACATTCATATAGAATATTCTCCAGGGAAGATCATAATTAAGGTCATAAAATAAATAGCACTTGGGAGGCAGAGGCAGGCGGATGTCTGGGAGTTCAAGGCCAGCCTGGTCGCTACAGGGAAACCCTGTCTCAAAAAGACCAAAAAAAAAAAAAAAAGTATAAGCCTGTAGAAAAATAGGTTCCAATATGTACATGCTCAGTACCCTTTTATTTGGCATAAAAGGAGGAATTTTGCAAGCAGTTGTACATTGTGCTCTTTGATGTATACTATTTATCCTGACTGTATCTTGTTTCTACAGTTCTCTGAATCACAGACTGGCCTCAAACTTTCAGTCCTACTGCCTCAGTTTCTCCAGAGCTGGGATTACAGTTGTGTTACCACGCCATACCACAGCTCTCTGTACTCTTACCCAGCCTGTCACTATTGTCCTTCACAGCGCTGGGGGCTAGAGGATGTATCTGCAATTAGTCCTGTATAGAGGTGTGTGGATAGATGGATGAAGCCTCATGAAGACCTTCAGCGTTCTCCAAGGGTGAAATACTAAGCTCTAGAAATCAGAGCAAGCCACCCTTTGTCAATAGGTCCCCAGGGACCTCCCGGCAGACAGGAGACAGGTGATATTCATCTCACCTCATTTTATTGACTTTCTTGTGTGGTTGCCAGGGTAGTTGTCTACTAAGCCCTTGCCTTTTCCCTGGACAATGCTTTCATTTTATAAGTTGGGGTAAACAGTATGGTTTTCAACTGAGACAATCTACCCTATGTAAGTATATGGGCCTTTTCCCTGCCTCCTTGGAGTCTACAGCAGGGTCACATGCTAATAAAGTACCAAGCTCACAGTTTTCCATTTTCCATTACCGAGTACTTCTGTTGTAGCAGTTACTGACTGCTTCTCTCCCCCATCAGACTTTAAGTCCCTAGAAGTTGGATCTGGCCCACTCCCCAAAGAGGACCTGCTTCTTGGGGAGAAGAGAGCCAACAAAACCCTGGATGCAAAAGGCTTGAACTGAGTTTCCCTCGCTGTTTTATCATTTTGCTGCTTCTTCTTCTTCTTCTTTCTTCTTCTTCTTCTTCTTCTTCTTCTTCTTCTTCTTCTTCTTCTTCTTCTTCTTCT